CCCCTAAAAAATATCACCAACTAAAACCTAAAAACTGCTAAAGCTAAAAAAACACCAGGATGTCTACGATACACGTGTATAGATACATACATACAACTTTACACACATACAACAGCGTGTGTGAATCAAATGTGAAAACTATCATCAAAGATAAAATGAAAGAATTTGAAAGAAAGATAAGTTAATTTGAGAGAGAGAGAGAGAGAGAGAGAGAGAGAGAGAGAGAGAGAGAGAGAGAGAGGTATATACCAGTAGAAGGGCCAGAGAGTGTAGTCGAGATCGAAGACAACGAGGCGAGGTAGCACTTGAAATTCACTCAGCATCTCCATTGCCTCCTTCTTCACCCCATCGTCGTCTTCCATCTCTCTCTCTCTCTCTCTCTCTCTCTGCAACTCTCTCTCTCTCTCTCTATCTGCAAATTTGAGGCAGTAATGAGGAATGTGTACACAACAATTCAGAAAATAATTTTTGGGAATGTGTCTCGGATTTGACTTTGACCAATTCAACGACCTAACAACTGAAAAGTAGAAAAGTATTTGAAGAAAATGTCTGGGATTTGAACTTGATCGATTCGTCTCTCAAAAAATAAAAAATAATTAATAATAAAATAATAAAAAGAAATATAAATAAATAAAAGAAAAAATATGAAGGGGCATTCCGAGAATCGAACTCGGGACCTCTCGCACCCAAAGCGAGAATCATACCACTAGACCAAATGCCCACTTACAGGCTGTGTTTGTTTATAGAAACATTTTACACACTTATCGTCACTTGTGTTATTTTACCTGCTCTAATTTGATAAAGAATGTATTTTTTCGCTGATGAATTCAGTGTTCTTAAACCCAAAATACATAAATGGTAGAAACAAAAATAGCAAAACAGTCTAGACAAAAGAAATTCCCCTCCGAATGACTCGATACTTCTCAAGTTGTGCGTGTTGTTGTTTGTATTATCTATAGAGATCTTAGAGCATCTCCGATCATAGAACGATGAAAACTAGAACGTTACATGTATTGTAACTAATGAGTAATAGTTTCACAATTCACTTACTAATTCATTTCGATCGTATCATCTATATATAAATTACGTATATCTATACATTTTTTTCTCGAGCACTAGTACTCAAATTTCGTTTTAATGACATAATTAATTTCTTACTGCTGCTATAGTCAAAATAAGAGATTGAAAATAGTCTCTTGTGGTTTGCGAGCTATTGCAAGAGCATAGTTATAACTTTTTCTTGTTAATTAAAAAGGAAAAAAAGAAAAAAAAAATGAAAAATAGAGAATATAAACAAGAAAACGACACTCTTCGAATGCAGAAAAAAAAAATTCAGTACTTTCATTACACTAACTCAGAAAACTACGATAAATTTCTTGCAAAGGGTGGTTGTGGGATTATGCATTCTACAAAATCTCCGAACAACAAACACCCACCGACGAGATGAAATTCAAAAACAATTACGTTCTTCTTATAATAGCAAAACAAACTACAAAAGTCGAAACCGAAACGGAAGGAAAAAAAAAAGCTTCAAAAAGTTGGTATTCGAAATTCTATGCGAGGGAGAGCTTATTGTTCTGTTCCGGCACTTGCTTCACTCAGATCAACCGACAAATTAAGAACCTAAACCGAATACCAAACAAAAAAATAAAGACGGGTTAAATCGAATTATAAATAATCTTCGTAATTACAAATCACATAAAAAAAAAAACTTAAAAGCTTAAAAAACATTCACTTAATTACCTTTCCAGTTATCTTAGTGTACATAGCCAACACATCTGTTACGGTGGACTCAAAGTGCGTCGTTGCGTCATAACTCTGCGTACCATAAGACCGTTACACGAATATAATTTATATATATATATATATATATATATATATATATATATATATATATATATATATATATATATATATATATAGTACTACACTTCTTGAAAAATAACAATACTCGATTTTTGAGAAATGGTGGGGGGCATGGCCCCCCTGTGGCTTTGTGCTGACTCTGCCACTGAATTCTGATAAATAATGGATAAAAATAAAACTTACCGTAGATATATAACAATGGTCAACATCAGTATCGTTAGTGGGTACAAATCTATCGTAAGTTTCGTAAAATATCTCGTCGACCGGTCCAAGAAGGTCAACCCCGGGCTTAAGCTCAACCTCGGGATTGTCAGTCTCAGCTTCAGTCAAAACGAATGCTATATATTTCCCTCTCGGCGCCACATTGTGTGCATAAGAGCAGCAGAACAAATACCTATCGATATAAAACCCTCGTTTCAGAATTATGATATGACTTGATACATAACATTCTCAAATGAAGTCTTAGGCCTCGTTTGGTTCCTAAGATAAGATTATACGAAACTAAATAATCTAATGAAAACCCAATTGTATTAGTGCACCATGGGAGGTCCGATCAAGAATCTTCCAAGAAATTATTGGGTTTACCAAAAATCGAACAAAGTCCAATTATTCAATTAACCATGGCTAATCTTCCCAACCAAATGAGGCCTTACAGAAATAACAACATATGTAAACTTACATATCCGATTTACGACCAAGTTGCTTCTGAGGGAGAATAACTTGAGCCGAGTGAGACTCTTTTGTGTCCGGAATCGGGTGGCTCATTATACATATCGCACGAGCAACTTTCCCAACCGGCTGGACCTGCAATAATTATTTATTAATTAATTAAAAAAAATTCCAATAAGAAAAAAAATCGAGAAATCGAACATATAAATTCAGTTAACCTTATCCGGTAAATACGACGGATCGCATACAACTTTCTTGCATTTAGCAGTTTCTCCTTCAGATGTTACTCCGATTGCTTTTCCATTTTCATCAAACTCCACCTTTCCGTAAAATCGTAATTTTAGCATTTATTTAACACTGTCTAAAAAAAATTTACGTAACCTCAAAAATTTTAACCTTGCAATCCGGCTTGTTTAGCATGTAGGTCCCACCATAAACGGCACTCAGTCGTGCAAACGCCTGTTAATTAACGCATCATAGTAATTAAACGATCAAATCAAATATTCGGACACTTTTAAAAAAAATGTTTTATAAATAGAAACAAACAAACCTGAGGCAATTCTCCGAGCCCGTACAATGGATATATGTACGGAGATCCCGATTGAAACCTTGCTAACGATTCCGCATAGAGCTGTTTAAAAAAAAAAAGAAAAATATATATTACTTTATTAACATTAATTTTTGTCTTAAATATATATATATTAAAATAAAAAATCGTTACCTTCATTCGCTTCACAAAATCGATAGCTGGCTGGTCCAAGTAACTATCGTTGGTATGCAGCGCCAAAGCGTGGCCTATAAAATCGACTGTGTCGTCTTCCAATTCATATTTTCTGCATTGAGAAATATGCTATTATTCCTATATATTAATTAATAAATGTGGTAAATTAAATACGAGAAACTAACGCGATGAGTTCTTTTCCGGTGATTGTGTCCAAATTCATGCCGGCGTGAGTTTTGGGATCACTCTCTTCAAAGTCTTGAACAAAGACGAAGAATTTTCGAGCACGGCGCTTTTCGAATAGCCCCATTAGTGGGGATTTCAGCGCTTCAACATCAGTTGCCGGAACCTTGTAGATCTATATAAATATTTATATATATATTTTTTTCAAGAAATGTAAGAAGATTTATAAGACAAAAAATAAAATTAAAAAATAAAATATAAAAATCGTACCTTTCCTTTATTGTAGACGAAACTACCGTCTACGGCCTTGAAGTTGAGGTACTTGGTCACGTTTGCATGAATGAGCACACGTACCAAAGTTCCGTTTGCCATCATGAACTATATAAAAACAGATTGAATAAAATTTCAAGAACACCGATTTTAATGGAAAAACAAAATCGAATTTCACATAATTTGGAAGATATTACTAACAATATATATGTATATATATGTATATATATATATATATATGTATATACCTTTGGAATCATATCAACATTGTACTCTCTGCTTGCGCCTAATTGCTCGGGTGGTTGATCATCTCCCCTTAAGCGCTTCCATAGCTAGAGAAACGAAGACGAAGTTATTATAAAAAAAATGAAAAATTCAGAAACTTGATTAATGCATAGTTTGTTATTTCTTTGCATTACCTGAGTCAAATTGAGAGAGCTGGATTCTCCTCCATAGTAGTCATTTTTGTCCATGTGTAGTACCTGTTTTTCTCGAGAAAAAAACGGATTAAAAATTGAGAATTTTGAATCTTTATTATTCTCGATGAATTCTAAGGAAATATTTAGTCGAACACGAATGCTCTGACACGAGGCGAATGATTTAATATTTATATATCCAAATTTCAATACATAAAGCCATTTTCTTTTAGAGAAAACCTATAAGAGATCATAATATCTTTTAATCAAATGAGTGACAAACATTTCTTCCCTCAAAAAGAAAAAGAAAAGGTGCAAGTGTGAAAAACTAAATCCAGAAGAAATCGGGTAAACAAAACATGAACCGATCCTCAGATCCAGTGGCAGAGCTAGCATAGGACCAGAGGGTTCACGCCCCCTCCAACAATTCTCGAATGCAAAAAATTCGTGTATAATTAGTATAATCGACCTCCCTCGTAAAAGTTTTAATGCATTTCTCGCCGCAAACTTAAAATACTTAAAATCCTGACTCTGATAGTATTCATATCCTAATTTACAAAGTAAATAATATAAATCACCCAAAAGATAAAAGTATAAGTGTGAAAAATATAAGTGTGAAAAATTAAATCCATAACAAATTGCATAACCAAAGCATGAATTGATTATATATATATATATATATATATATATATATATATATATATATATATATATATATATATATATATATATATATATATAGGCTCATAGAATCAGCACTCCAAGAACTGTCCAGAAGGTGGCCATGGCCCCCACAACAATTCTTGAATCCTTATTTTGATGTACACATTAATAAATAAATAAAAAACCGTGTAGAATTTTAGTATTGTCGCCCCCCACATAAAAAAATTAATGCATTTTTGGCCGGTGGACTTAAAATTCTGACTCCACTAGCTAGTATTCAGATCATAATTTACTAAAAACCACATAAATAATATAAATCAATCAAAAAAAACAAAAAAGGAAAAGAAAAAAAAAAAAAGAAATTACTTTAAGACCATCAACAGAGAGGAGACCACTGAGAATGCATTCTTTGAGACCAGTGCCGAGAACAATCACATCGTACTCTTCATCCATGGCGCCGCCGCTGCTTGTCTCAACTTTTTTTTTTTTTTTTTTTTTGGTTTTACTTATTTCTTTCACACTTGATTAAAAAAAAAAAAAAATAATTGGGGAAAAAAAATGTGATGTGGAAAAATAGAGAAGGAATTATATTGTATGCATGGGAAACAGAAGAGATTTATTAAAAGGGAAGAAAACGAATAGCGCGGGAGATTTCTTAGCAAAGGAGGGAACGGGTCTTGAGCTGATGGATGGATGGATGGTTATTATTTTTTTATTATTTTTTAACCGTTAATTATAATTAGACATTAGCAGTTTTGGTTTACTGCCGTTAATCTCGTTAACGTGTACTACTAACATTCACCCGTCGGTTATTATGCTTTTTTTTTCTCTTTAATTTTGATGAAGGAATTTACAAAATAAAAATATATGCATAAAAAAACAGAATAAGACCATTTTGATGAATACACTATGTCGTTTTACAATAAATTTACATAAATAATTACCCCACTAACCACACATATGCATGGGTGTGTATGTTATCACGTGTAAGTTAATGGAGTAAAACTACATGATGTATTTCACCAGGTGTAGGTTGTACGAAATCATAAATAAACGTGAAGATAATTAATAGATTGAAATAGCAAATTAAATTAGTATAAGTATCAGTATATAATATGTAAGTATTAATATGAGTATGAATATTAGTATTAGTATTACTATTAATATTAATATTAATATCAGTAGTGGTATTAGGTCTCGTTTGCTTACATACATCGGATTAGACCGGGATTGAACGAAATACCTGTTGGTTAACTGATTAATACGTTAATAATATGTTGGGTTTTTAGATTACATGTTGCATTAAATTTGTTAGGTTATGTTATTATATGTGAATTGTCTATGAAGTAATTTATTTAACAAAATTAAGTTATTGTTTTAAACTTTTAAGCATAAAACTGTAATTTTCTGATTTAGTCAACTCCTACAAATTAATCGAATGGTGGAGAGATGTTACTAATTTCATGATATAGTAGCACTTAATTGCAGACTTTAGTAGCGGACTTGAGTAATGTTGAATCCTAACAACCAAACATCTACAATCTAACGGGAGAATTACACTTTTGGTCCCTTGTGTTTGACCCAATCCCACTTTTGGTCCCCGTTGTTCCGAAGTTAACAAAGTTCACCTCTAAGATTCAATTTTAAACACTTCCGGTCTCTGCCGTTACATGAACATTAGCAAGTAACGAAAAATACTATTTTGGGGCCAAAATTGAAATTTTAAATGAAATTTTAAATATACTAGAAAATCTAAAACCTTGACAGTCAAATATATCATGTAGATCACAAAATTAAATATGACGACCTATTTACAGTAAAAGAATATTTATGACGTCATTAAAATATTTAATTTAACTGCAGTCAAATATACACACGAGTACATTGTACATACCACAGTTCTGCTCAGACCCACTGTGAAATTCCTTTTCTACCCTTCTCTCCCCACTCACACTGCCAACATTCCATGCCCTTTTTCGTCCAACTACACTAATCTCACTCCCCCGATCCCCTTCTTCTTCTTCCTCATTTTTTTTCCCCAATTCGATTTTACCCTTTTTTGGGAGGAGAAAATTTTCAATTTTTTCAAGATTAATTCGCAGGAAATGGAGCACCCATTTTTTCCGACGACAACCACCCGGGCGGAGGCACTGCGGTGGCTGACGATCGCCGAGAAGCTGCTGTCCGCGCGTGACCTGATGGGCAGCAAGTCCTTCGCGAGCCGCGCGCGTGACTCCGATCCGACGCTCACCCCGGCGGATCAAATCCTCGCCGTCGCCGACACGCTCCTCGCCGGAGACCGGCGGATCGGAAACAACCAGCAGGACTGGTACGCCGTACTCCGAGTCACGCAGCAGCAGGGCGGCGACTCCGAGCTCATCGCCTCACAGTACCGAAACCTAGCCCTAATTCTCAACCCTCAGAAGAACAAATTCCCCTTCGCCGAACAAGCCTTCCGCCTCGTCGTCGACGCCTGGTCCGTACTCTCAAACCCTTCGAGGAAATCAATGTATGATAAAGAGCTGGCTTTCTTTCTCCAGCAGCAGCAGCGACAACCCGACCCGTTTAGCAACCCTATCCCATCAATGCACCAAAACTTCATGTTCTTTGGGGGGAACAGCTCAACTGGTGTCACTCATTCTTCCCAACCACAAGGCGGCGCCCATTTTCCTCAGGTACAGGTACATGCAAGTACTCAGGTTGACCCGGTGGGTGGTGGGTCGGCCCGAGAACAGCAGAATTTCATGAGTTTTACTTCGGGTTCAAATCTTGTTTTCGGGGGTGCATCTGGACCGTCCAAGGGAAGCCATGAACCGGTGAATAAGCAGGTACACGAAAGCTTTTCGACTTTTGCTGGTAATGTAGCTGCTCCTGCTCATGGGTCAACCCAGGAGCAAGTGAACAAAAACCACAAACAACCTCAGCAGAATTACTCGAATGTTGGTAATCGAACTCCTCATCATGCGAGTGTGGGTGATGATGTTGGAAGGGGAATCGAGGATGAGGAGAAAATAGATGAGCAGGAGGAGAGAGTGAATGCACCTGCGAAGAACGACGGATCGACTTTTTGGACGGCGTGCCCTTATTGCTATTACATGTACGAGTACCCTATGGTTTATGCTGATTGCACTCTGCGGTGCCAGAACTGTAAGAGGGCGTTTCAGGGGGTGGTGATACCCTCACCGCCGCCGGTCGTTGATGGTAAAGATGGGTACTTTTGCTGCTGGGGTTTTATGCCTATGGGTTTTTCGGTGGAGAATTGGGAGAAAAATAAGGGTGCTGCTTCTTCGTGGACTCCGTTTTCGCCCATGTTCACTTGCCCACAGGCGTCGAATGGGAATGCCAACGCTACTAAAAAGGCTGCGCGTAGAAACTCGGCTCCAAGGGTGTATGTTGACGATGATGATGATGAGGTTTTTATGGAGGCCTCGGATTCGAGTGGATCGGACGATGATTGGCGCGATGCTATGGAGAAAAAGAATAAGAAATCAAAGAGTGTGAAAGGAAAGGGAGCTAGTGGGACTCCCAATAAAAGCGCGAAGAAAGCACAAGTAGATAATAAAGGCAAGAATGTGAATGTGAATGTGCAGCAAGATGGGGTTGTGCCTCCAGCCGAGGTGGTGGAGGCACCTATTAAGGCGGCAGCCCCCGTCGAACCGAGCAAAAAAGGGGCGGCAGCTGTTAGTGGTAGAAAACAACCTGGCAGAGTTGCAAAGAGTTTTGGGAAATTGGATTTGAATGTTGAGTTTAGCAACGAAACCGAGGAGTCTGCTCCGAGGACGAACCAAGGGAGTGGACCAAGCCGTGGGAAAGATGATAACATTGAAGGGGAGGATGGTAATATCGAAGGGATCGGATTTTTCGAGGGTCTTGATGAGTTCTTGAGCAGCCTTCCGATTCTTAACGTCGTAGACGATAAGGTCGTGAAGGAGACATAATAAAAAAGTAAGTGCTTTTTTGTTGTTGATGTTGTTGTTGTAACTCTAGTTTGGGTGTGGAGGGTTGGTAGGGTGTTATCGTTTCGGATCAAATTTGGAATCTTAAGTTATGGTTTAATTATCGTATATATTGCTATTTATCTCGTTTTTAGATTTCTTCGTTTCGTGTGCGGCGAACAATGCAGGAAAGCTGCAGTCTTTGCATTGATAATGGCTTTGCACGTTTATATGTATGAAATGCCATCTTAGTATTAGAGTTAATAATGCCTAGTACAGTTCTTGAGTGATGGAATTTTGAGTAGTATGATATATATATATATATATATTGCATATATATTAGGGTAAGTTACACCTGCACCCGTGAGCACCCGTGAGGTGGTATGCTAAAATAACTTTAAGGTTCATGTGGTATCGGTAATTACAATCACTCGTGAAACATTATTAGAAATTCTAAGTATTGGATACGTTATTCGGATAGAGTTCAAATGGACTATTAGTTTCAGATTGTGTTGGAGATAATAGAGCTAGTGGGTGATTTAAGGAATCTTGGGGGAGTCATGTCACCCTCTAGCTCTCGCTCTATGTTGTCTTCATCACTTCCTGAAACTAATAGTTCGTTAGAAATCTATATTCGGAATAACATATTCAATGCATTATCCCGTTAGAGGTTCTAACAATGTTTCAGGGGTGATTGTAATTACCGATACCATATGGATCTTAAAATTATTTTAGCATACCTCAGGAGTGTAGGTGTAATTTACCCTATATTTTATTTGAAATAATTTCACGAAAAGCAAGTTTAGTTGATACATATGCAACCTTGTCATAATTCAATTGTGTGAGTTCAATACAATTTCTCAATAGCTTAAATCGAAATGGTAAATGTCGTTCCAATTTTATGAATACCGTTTTGACTTTTAATGTGATTTTGACATTTGTCTAGTCTGATTTTGTCAAAATTCAAAATATATCATATGAGTTAACTTTCTAATCCAATTTAAATCAGCCAAACTGGATTTTGGGGGACAAAGTTATGCGTAAATGAGTTACATTTTGAATTATAGATAATCAAAAACATCAAAGTTGTGGGCAATATTAATTGAATCATGCACAATTTTCTTACCTGACATCCAATCTTGTCGATTCAAGTTGGATTACAAAGATAACTGAAAGAACTACGAACTACATGCTTTCAGTTTTGCCCAGTCTCGAGTCGAAAATGATCAAAATCACGTTTGGAGTCTCGAGTTTTGCCTTAGTTTTCCACAAAACTTATTTTTCAATTAATCTAACCAATTAAAGGAGCAACTTATAATATAGAAACATGTGCAATTTACTCAATAGAGCCCTAATAATTGGATGCCAATAATGACCACAACCATTATTTGAATTCAACATACTCCCCAACTTTAATTGTGTATAATTGAATGAAAATATTGGTGATGGGTTAACCGTTATTTCTATGCTACACCAAGTGAAGACTATAACGAGTAATTTTTTTGCTGTTGATCTACACACACCGATGTGGGTGTGTGTGTTTGTGTGTATATGAATGATAAAGATCTATCCGGTGTAGCATATAATAGACCGGGGTAATGAAATGAGAGTTCAGCCAATTCAATATTCTGAACTTCAAAAAAATAGTAATTTTCTCGAAAACGACGGAGGGGCCGCGGCCCCCCGACTACGCAGTTCCTCCTCTGCTCAGCCATTTCAGATTCTTGACCACTACTAACTACATTACTTAGGTTGTTATTATGTCTCAACAACAAGATCAACGGCCTATAAACACAATTATTATTATTTCATTTAATTTCACCACTATAAAAGAGTAAACAATCCCTGGATTATAACTACAAACTAATCCAGGCTTTTTAATAATAATTAAAAAAAAAAAAACATGGCTTCTTCTTCTTCACAGTCGTTGATTTTATTCTTCATCGTCGTTTCCCTGTCAATTCCAGGCCCGGAAATCGCCTCAGCAGCTGGGAATAACCGTAAGCTGCTGGCTCCGATTTTCCCTGGAATTCCGGGCCTGGAACCACTGCCCACATTTCCCGATCCCACAATATTTCCACCGCTCTTCCCTACTCCCAACACTGATCCCTCCGCCCAACCAATATTACCCGATTTTCCTATAATCCCCGGTAATAATCCATTGGTTTTCCCCACTAATCCATTTATCCCCTTTTTTCCTCCACAAATTACCACAACCACTCCTTGATTGCTTAGCGGTTTACTAGAAACTGATCCAAACAATTTGGATTAGTCGGTCCTTGGAGGAAGATTAATGCTCGTTACGCGTCTTGTTTTGTGTTTTTATTACGTTGTTATTTCTGTATGTTGTGTTTGTGTTTCATGTTGTGTGTCCTAATAAAAATGGCGCTTAATTTTTATTGACTTTTGCGATTCCTTTTTATTCGCCCGTGATTCATGTCCGGCTCGATTAAAGCTCGATTCAGTTATATATATACCTAAGTAAGACCATGCAAATAAACAATATATATATATACACATACATAAAATTTGATTTGATATGTTCAACAAGCTCAAACAAGCTCTTGAATTTCAACTATAAACCTCAAAATCAAATATTAGAAACTTTACTTTAAACTTTTTGTTTCTCTACCTAATTACTTTTACAACACACCCAAATTACACTATATCACACCACAACAAGACCACAATACAAACAAACCAAAAAAAACCCCCCA